AGCACTACCATGAAGTTGACAGTTGTGGTTCAGAGTGAAATACGGTTGAGTTTTCTTTTTACTTTGTCAAAAGGTAGTTGATGCACTTAATGAATTATGGAAATGCCTTTGCCAAATAAATTCTGACCAACATTTATCTCATATCACTTATGTGCCGTTTCTGTTGACTGTGTCTTCCTGGATATTTCCATAACGTGCGAACATTAAATTAAAGAACAATTAAAACTTGCCCAACTGAAACTAATTCCTGAAGACCTCTCACCATTTTTCTCCCATAGATGGATTAGATGGCCAAGGCGACTTGTTTTATTTCCGGTCTGCAACCTCTACTTCTTCTACTCTGTTAACAGGCGGATTACAGTCATGCATAACCTATACTGCCAACTTCTGACCAAACTATGCTGTAGCTGACTTTACATACTCCAAGCCAGTTCATGGAAACGCACATTTCTTTTGTTAAAACATTTCAAAAGTTAAAATTGACAATTGAATGGAAACACGGCTAATGTATCCTGATTTTGGTGATTCCCTGAATTTTCCTCTAGCGCCATAGTGAGGTTGACTTTAGATCTTTAATGAACAGAAATCTGAATTCCCTGACTGTTCATCTCGTGCCTCTAGTGTACGAAATACCCGGTGGCAATCGGCTGTCCCGTCTTGTGAGCATGTTAGCATGCTAATGTTAGCATTAGGCTTCACTACAGCCTCACAGAGCTCTTAGCATGGCTGTAGACTCTTGTTTGATAACCATGGATCAAATGATTACAAAGGTGTTGCAAATCTAAAAGCCCACTGCTACCCACACAGCACCAAATGGCAGAAAGACACAGCAACTAGCTGAACATAGTTCATCATTTAGCAATGTCCGATATTTCCCTTTAGGAGTTGGTATTGAACAAACAACGCAGATCTTAATGGAGAGTGAATATTGGACTTACATTTGTTTCACCATAGTTCACCATTTCAATTTAAAAGCTGGTGATATGTCGGTACACCTTGTTCCTGTTGTGTGGCCAAAAGATCTGGTTTAAGAAATATTTTATTTCACATTCCTGTTTAACACAAAGCTTCTTGGTATATTCTCACTTTTTCTCGTGTTTGACATTTGAGCAGTTCTCAGGTTTCACTGACATTGGAGGGGCTAGTGTGAGGGATGCTCTGTCAATGGGAGGAATGCCTTGGTTGCCACATTCCCCGACAGGGAAGCGCTCTTTCTGCCAAACATGCACCTGCATGAACATATTCCTCAGAGAAACAAAAGATCACCTCATCACAAGCTAGTAGAAAATCTACAGTGACAAAGCACTGGCTCAAAAACACCAAGACAAAGCCCAACGGAACAAGTAGCTGCCAATCTTTTGTCCTTTGAAATTATTTCACTTCCTGGTGTTCAGACACTCCATCACAAGCTCCATCCTCTCCTTGTGAGCACTGCTTTCAGCTTCACTCACACAGGCCCTCATCCAACTAAAAGATAATTATAAATGAATAAGTAATTAAGTGACAGATGAGTGAGGTTAGAAGAGCAAGGGATAAGGAGGAATGTGAGGGAGTAGAGAAATGCAAGAGGGAGCCTCAGAGCGGGAGGGAGGGCGACAGTAAAGATGGTAAAGATGTGGTTGAGAATGAGGTTGGAAAGGACCCTCTGAATGGAGATTTGCAACAAAATAGATTGCGTCTGTCAGACCCCCCCACCGTGACCGCAAAGCTAGACTACAATAGAAACGGCAGTCATTGGGAATAACTCTCAATCTTTCTTCCTCTGTGTTCCTCAACTTTTCTCCCACAGCCCCATCCCCCTTGTTTTACGTCTTTGCACCCTTTTTCCTCTCTTGCAGTCACCGACCCTTTTCCATCTCCTTATCTTCTTATCGTTCTGTTTGTCCTCAGTGTCAAAATGTGTATGACGAACTTGGCCTTGTCTAAAATCCTGCAGGAATAGTTGAAAGGGGCCATACTGTTTAAATGCACTCTCCAAAAAACGAAGGACACAAACTTGTGTTTGAAAAGTGGACAAATAAAACTCTGGATGTTGTTTTGAGCAATAACACATGTAGAGCAAAACTGTAGGAGTCCAATGTATAGCTTGGACACAAGTAGTAGAATTACAGTATTGAAAATGTAATTTAAATTATTGAACCTGCATTCATTTTTTTTTTTTGGTGGGGGGGGGCAATTTTCGGGAAACAAGCTGTCAAATCGACATTAACCTTTGACATTTTAAGTTGAAACAGCGAATGTTTCAGCAAACATTTGCCTTCACATCCAGCAGACACAGAGAGACATTGTCATTCATTTGGAGCCATGTTTCTGGCCAACAGATCTCTCTTTTGGCTCTGTTTTTATTCTCCACAAACTGTGGAAAACAATCTGTCTCTTTAGGCCGGTCTTTATCTGCTGCTTAGAGCTGCAGGTAGCATGAATTTATTAGAGCTGTTTAACTGAAAACAGCTGCCTGTTGCTTCTGGAAACAGCTCTAATTAGAGCGATGATAGTGAACTGGTTAAAAAACGCCATAAAACCAAAACATTTAAGCAATAAGAATGATCAACAATATAAAGTATGTAGCATAAGATTTTTAATGAAAATTAACTTTGAACAGATTCAGGCAGAAGTGTGACGGTGTTTGGAGTTTAAAGATTATTTGATGTTTAATTATTGTTGTATGTTCATGTTTTTTATAGATCTATTGCATAATTCGAAATGCTTCTGAGTTATCCTGTTTCCACCAATTCTAACTAGATTCCTTACTAAGAAGATATACTACCAGAAGGTGTATGGTGGCTGGATGGCCTTTTCTCAAACAACACAAAGATACACAGACACAGACACACACACACACACACACACACACACACACACACACACACACACA